AATCCTTCTATATCTCAGTCCCCATCCTTAAATGGAGAATAATGCTTTGCTACCTTGCAAGGGTGTTGCTAGGATAAATCCACTAACTTGGGTGAGATGCCCAGATACTACGGTGATGGGGGCAAGATAAGCAGACAGAAAGGAATGTTCTCTGCCATTCTCTCACTAGAAATGTAGCCGCAAGAGTAGGGTTCTATGGAATTATGCATCTCTGGAGAGCTCATTTTTCTTGCTTCTGTAACATTAAACTGCAAAAATTCTGGGCCTGATTCATCACTGCGTAATTCCAGGTTCCTGGCACAAAAGTGAACCAACCCACTGGTAAAATCAAGACCTTTCTTTTTTACTGATACACTTAGGCCATGTCTGCACTAGTGAGTTTACAGAGGTACAGTTTTACTGATGCAGCTGCAGCACTGTAAGATCGCGCATGTAGCCCCTCTATGCTGATGAGCGAGAGCTCTCCCATCGACGTAATAAAATCACCTCAACGAGTGGCGGTAGCTATGTTGTCAGGGGAAGCTCTCCCGCTGACATAGCGCTGGCCACACCAGCACTTATGCCGGCGAAACTTATGTTGCTCAGGTGCGTGGTTTTTTCACACCAATGAGCGACATAAGTTTTGTGAACATAAGTAGTAGTGTAGACATGGCCTAAAGCTGCCAGAAGGACCAACACACTACCAGGTGAAATTATTTTGGGATTAAAGACTGAAGTTCTCTCGTGATGAGATTGCATAGGGAAAGTGAAAGGTTATTTGGAATATTGAAAAGAAGTATAGATGAGGCAGGTGCAGCTTGTTAGCTGTCACCATACCTGATTAATAGCAGACTCCTCCCTCCCACCCCAAGCAATAACATCAAGTTGATTTGTGGAAGCCACCCACACTCTAGAACTGACGGGCAGGCAACTCAGCATCTAACCTTAACATGCATGGAAACTTCTGAGGCAGAAGGTGCCAAGCTGCCAAAAGGCCTTGTGCTGATTTTATGAAATGCAAAGTGTGCAGAAAGGGCTATGTTAAGAATACCAGCTTAATTTACCAAGGGACATGTTGTACCCTTGGTAATTCACACAGTAGTTGTGTGCACATATTGCCGAGCAGAATTAAGCCTTTACCTCTCTAACAAATACAACTATAACTATTGCCCTAATGATCAAAAACTGTACTTCACTCACTAGGCCACATACATTCCCACTAATAACTACGGGTGCATTCTGACCGCTCATGTATGCGGCCAGCTCATACAGATTTAGGGCTAGACTCAGTGTTTATTCTCAGCCCTGCGTAAGGGATGACATGTAGATGCACTGCCTTGGGAGCAGCTCCCAAAAGACTGTGACTCAAAGAAACTTCTCTGAGACACAGTTCCTCCAAAATCCCTTTAGAGCAGGAGTTGAGAGTTATATTGCATCTGCCCACTACCAGATTCCACTTACTCCACCCCTCGCCTCCAGACTTGTGCAAAGTGGAGAAAATAGATGGCTCCAGCTACTCTCTGTGCCTCACTTGCAAGAGCAAAATACCTGGCATGCAGTCCCTGCTCTTCCCACATGCCTATGTAAGTCCTGCACTGTGTGCAGGGGGTGAAGTGAGGATTTTACATCCCTACAGGGCTACATGAAGTTAAGTCACAACTGACCCCTTTGAAGAGAGATACCTCGCCTTTCTGAAGGCAGAATTTGGCCCTATACACTATCAATGGGATTTCACTACAGCAACTACACTCTCTCATGATTTTATGTAGTGCCAATCACCATAAAAGCATCTAAGAAGCCAACTAGCCAGTAAAAACTAAAATTAATAGCAATTACTAAGTCTCTCTCTCCTCCACACATATTAAAGCACTTCAAAGGGTAGGGAAGCATTTTACAGATGAGGAAACTGAGGCCCAGAAAAGCTATGAGGTCACACACAAGACAGTGACAGAATTAGAATGGAAATGCGAACACCTGAGTCACAGTGTCCTACTCTATGTAGACAATTTTGTCTTTAGACAAGCTTCTCTTCCTGTTTTCAATCTAACCTAAAAACTGGAACTGAAGAACCATCTCCAAGGGAATTTATCCAGCAGCTGTCAAATGAAGCTCAGTTAGATCTCTTTCTAAGCTTCAATTTAGCCACATAGTGTCTCCTTTAGCAACAAAAATTTTATGCTTCCAATTTTTTATACTAACACCCCCCCACTTCAAATAATTTGCAAAGCTTTCACTTTAAGCAAAAGTCCAAATTTCAGCATAAGATTAAACAGGAAGGAGTGTATGCATGAGAGTGGTGGTGGTGAAGGAATGAAGGGATTCCTCAAGCAAATGTAATTGGGTGACCAGTGTGTCTCGCTTCTCTTAGTGGGTTTACCCAGTGTTAAACAAACAGGGAGGTTTTCATTCAGTGAATTCTTCAGTTTGAGAATTTAGGCTGATTGCTTCTTGTTGTTTTTTTAAGGACCTCATTCCTTTAAATATCTGAGATATCCATTGCAGAGACTTCTGCTGTTTTGCACTTCTCAAAATGTTCCCTCTTAAAGATTCTCTCCTGTGCTAAAGAGAGGTCTGTGTTTATTCAGTGACTGTAGTAAGCCTTAGTGTAAACCAGTCCTAGCAGCAGAGGAGTGCGGCAGTGAGGGGGCAGTGCAGGGGAGGTGGTCTCGGAGAGTGTGGCTGGGGTAGGAAAGTAAGGGGAGTTGGAGAGCGTGGTGGAGGGGAAGGGGGTCTTGCAGAGTGTGGCTGGCAGAGGGGCTGATGAGGGAAGTTGTGGAGAGAGTGACTGGGGTGTGTGGGAGGGGAACATGACGGTCGTGTGTGGGTGAGTCTGAGAATGTGACATGTGTGGGTGTGAGTGGGAGTTGTGGAGAGTGTGACTACTGTGAAGTGAGTGAGGGAGCATCTGTGAGAGAAGAAATGAAGGACTGGTAAGAGCGGGCAGCAAGGAGAGGCAGAACAAAGGAGAAACTGGGGAGGACGCGGAAGTTTAATTTAGTAACTGGGGAAGGAAGTGGGTTCTCAAGCCTAATCAACCACTTACTAGGCAAAACCATTACAAGTGAATGGGGGCCCTCAGCAGCATCCATTTGCCAAATTCTAGGGGGGAAGCCTGCCATCGCCCAGCAGCCAGGAGGGTGGAGCACTCTTGGTTTCTCACACTGAACCCCTCTGGCTAACAGTGCTAATCCTCTGAGAAACTGTGCTGAAAAAGATTTTTTCCCAAATTCTTCACAATACAGACATAGTCTTCATTGCAAAGTTAACTTGAGTTATAACTTTGGTGTTGCCCTGTTGTGATAATTAGGCCTAGCCTAATCGTGAGCTTAACAGTAAGAAGTGAAAGTTCATAAAATGTCACAATAACTTATAAATATCAATGAGGATGGGCAAAGGTGCAAGAGGGACACAGAAAAACTGAATTAATCTAAACAAAAAGACCTGCTAACAGAACTCAAAGACAGTGTTAAGATGATGCTTGCTAAACAAAAGCAGCGTAGACCAGAAATCAATGGTCCAAAATTGATGAGTCAGAAATCAGACCTAACTGATTTAAAAAAAAAAAAAAAAAAAAGAGGAAGTTAGGCTATTCCACCCATCATTTTATTTGTATTAAAAACTTCCCTCTTAGTGGCACAAAGTCTTTGTCACTTCAAAACAAAATTGCTTTAATGTTAATGTATTGAAAGTCTAAATTTTTATTAACAACATTGTGAACTTTTTTATGCATAGATGGAATTTTTTTTAAAAGCTTAAAAGTTAGGCATTTAAATCCTTATTTAGGCACCAAGGTTGGTATTTTCAAGAGCATTTCAGCTTTTTTGACTTGTGGAAAGTTCAGTGGATCAGAAGGTGGTGTTAGCTGTGAATATAGAACAGGCTACTTGTTTATCAATTTTGTGTTTCTGTTTGTGCTGTTTTCACAGTGAGGATATTAAAGAGGCCACAGTTGTGTCTTTTACAGCATAAGACGGGCATTTTAAATGTGAAACTTCTTAATAGAAAAATCTCTATGTACAAATCTGAATTCTTCTAACAGTTAGAGGAAACTAATCAAAGCAACAAGTGCAAGATGTCCACTCCAGCAATTTAAAACTATAAAATGGGAAGAAAATAAAGAAATAACATGTAAATATGAACATCGGATTTCTGTAGTTTTTTTTAAATAATGGATTTTTATTCACCCTGTTTCAAACTGTCTGGGTCTGATGAATGCACACTCAAAAGTAAGTATTGTTCATGTGAATAAGGTTTTGCAGGATTAGTCCCTTTAGAAATCCTTCTTCACCACCCATTTGAACCAGTCAGATTTGTGACATCACAAAATGCCTTGGCAATGGATTCTGATGTCAAACACATCATTATGCTTTTACTATGGGATCAAGCAGCAGCTGTAGTTGCAAGCAAGTAACTTGTTAAACCCAAATATCTTGAGAAACAAAAATATGATTAGGAAACTTGGCTGTTATATTAACACTCTCTTTTTTTCAAGTTTGCCAGACTGAAAGAGTTGTTTTTCAATGAGTCCTGGAATAATTGACTTACACATTTTCCTTGCCATATTAACCCTTCACACTTCAACTATAAAACCTGTCATTAAAGTGGTGTGTCAGCAAGAAACTGCTAATAGTCTAACTCAATCCATGCCTCCCAAGGCTGGCAGAGTTTGAGAGCCTCACTCATGGGACACTTGGAGGATCTCCTGGGGAAGTTTCCTCCTGCAGCCCAATGTCCTCAAACCAGGACCTTTGCCCTTGCTATCTGGCAAAGGAGACTATGATGTTTCTGCTAGAAGTCATAACCTACTGAATAGGATAATCACAGGATGAGAGTGAGGAAGGAAGGGGGAAATACAGAAGCTAAAGGGAAGAGATTTGGCAGCATCTAAAAAGCCTATATTTTAAAATACATCTCCATCAGAAGAGCAAGGGCATTATAATAGAAAGTGCTTGCAAATTAAATTGCTTTGGTGTCCAAGTTATTTAACATGCATTTCAAACTGTTCATTAACAGCTACTCACCACTGAATGGATTGATCTTTCTTGCGATTCGTGAACAGATTGATTCTTTCAGGTCTCTCTTTTTAACACACTGAATGCCCAAATTCTGAAAACTAGAGCACATGTAACAAAGTAATTAAAAAACAACAACAACAACAACAAAAACTATTTCACTTAATCACTGGCACAGATATTCAAAAGCTGAATTCTAATCCTCCCTGTAAAGAATCAGATTGTACATCTTTTGTCAAAAATATATCTTAATAACAAATTGTGTAGGAAATACAGATGACAAAAGAGCTTTGGAAAAGATGGTTTTATATTTCCAAAATAAGGGTAATGATAAAAAGAAAAGAATTCTTACATAAAATAAAATAAAAACAGGGGAATATTTTTTCACATTAAAAAGAGTTATCACTGGAGTTTTAATATAGTAAACTAGCAATGCTAAAAATATATAGAGGACCAGTGTCTCAACTGGTGTAAACTGGCATAGCTACTTTGACGTCAGTGGAGCTACTTCAATTTACATCGGCTGAGAGCTGACCCAGTGTCTCACACCAGGAAATGCAAATCTGCAACAGTATTTTGAAGTTAATTTTTTATAAAGTTTGAAATCTCATCTAGTTATGGAAAAGTTCTAAAGAGCTACAGTTCCTCCTCATTTGCATATGACTACATCAAGTCAGCAAAGGAGGTGGGGGGAGTCCCCACAATTTGATTCTTTCCCACATGGAAAAACCATGACATCATCAAAGCAGGGTGGGGAAGTAGGAAGTAAGAATCTGAACACACTATAATATCACTAGAACACAGGAGGTCAGTTATGCCACCAGGTTCCACTGTGCCTCCAGAAGAACTGGCAATTCCCTTCCCTTGAAACCCCACAAAGACTCTTTACTTGAGACATGCCTGGAGACTTCCTGAGACACTCCCTGATCACGTAGCATCTGTCTCCCTCAACGATGGGCCAATATTGCCCTGCAAGTTCCTCAGTCCCATCCTGCTATCAGTGAATCCATTCCTTTCTACAGAAATCCAGTCATTTTCCTTCCCCTTCTCTTCCCCTACCCCCACCACACTCTAAGGCCATACTGCAGTTAGAGAACTAACTCACTAAAGGACTAATATAGGCCTCATTTAATAGAATCACAGGACTGGAAGGGACCTCGAGAGGTCATCTAGTCCAGTCCCCTGCACTCATGGCAGGACTAAGTATTATCTAGACCATCATGGACAGGTGTGTCTAACTGAACTGAATTCTGATTTTTAAAAAAATGCAGTGCTGTCTCATGATTTAATTAGATGACTTTGGTTCCATTTCTGGTTTCCAGTATTTAGGGTTTGCAGAGAATATTAGAATGCACTGCTATTGCTGTATCATTTTGTTGTGTAGGGACAACTTTTTTTAGACCTCGTCTACACTACAAATGCAATTGTTTTGAGGGAAACACAGATAGAATACAGTTGTTCCCCCAAACACAGTTAAAGCATGTTTCAGTGGTATGGATGGGATCTGGAACATGTCCCCAAATTATGATTTGACAGCCCAGCGCTTTCGAACAGTTTGGAGAGAGGGTTAAGGTACCCCCCATACTACAAAATAGGGGGACAACTATACTGGGGGACAAGTCTGTTGTAACCGGTTGTGTTTGTAATGCATACAGGGAGTTGGAGAAAGTAGGACGCCAACTCAGAAAGCAATCTAAGCACACAGCACTCTAGGCTCTGCCTGTTGTACTATCAGAGCACTGTAAATTATAGTTGTCAATTAAATACATATGAAAAATCAGCCTCTAACAAAAACATTATCTGCTACATAAAAACTGACTGCAATTATTCTACTGCTGTAGATTATTCATAACTATCAAGTACCAGTCATCTTGTGGGCCAAACTGGACTTTTAAACTAAAAGCTCCTTAACCAATGGGGTCTCAAAACTTACAAAGTCTGACCCTTTTCTAAAATATGCTTGAGTATCACTGTGAAAGTGACTGGCCAGTGACCATATCACTGACCCTGAGCAGAGGGCTGGAGCAGGAAAGAAAAACTGACTAGAATGCACAGCAAAATTAGGCAGCACCACTTCAGCACCAGCTGAGTGGCAAGGAGCAGGGAAAACAGAAGGGGGGGGGGAAGGAGCAAGAGGAAAATAAAGGGAGAGACATATTAAAACCAGTATATTATCAAAGCAGGGTAGTAAACATCTTAACACAGCGATAGTCACATGTGCACCAGTATAGTCACTCTTGGACAAATCCTGTCCCTGCCTGGATAGCTGCAGAAGGCCCTGTATATCCTAACATAGTGGATATACAGTGTAACAGATCACAGTCTGGATCCTGGTGTATTCGTTTTATTTTCTCACCAGTCTCCCCACTCTGCACAGTCTAGTTTGTAAACATTTTGTTTTCTCAAGAGCAATAATCAATTTCCAAAGTTTACAGACCATAAGGAGTGAACAGACACAGTTGTGAATTCTTCTATAGAGAAATGACCAAAGTCCATACCTTCTACAGTATGTCATGCTCTTACCTTTATCTTACACGGCATAGATATGTTTGTTAGCAACTCTGTTGCATGCAGCAGTTAACTGAGATGTTCGTAACACCCTAATGAGTAGCTATACCAGCATTAAATTGGAGCTGTGCCTACTTACACCAGGGCTGAATATGGTTCAAGTGGTGACTCCTTTGCTGCTGAGACTCCTCTACAGAGTCTCACAAGATACAGTTCTTAGCCCACTGCTCTTTTCCAACTACTGTCTCCCTTTCAATCATCTTTAAGCAGAGCTAGCCCATTTATGATGGTACATATCTTTCAACAAATTTAGGCCAAGATTTTCACAAGTGACTGGTGATTTGGGGGTGCCTAACAGGAGACACTTTGAAGAGGCCTGATTTTCAGAGGGTAGGTGGCTCAGTACTTTCTGAAAGAGGCCTGATTTTCAGAAGTCTCAGGGCCTTAATGTCCATGCTGAACAGACAGGGCCTCAGTATTTCGTCTTCTCTCCAAAATCATACACACACAATAATATATTTTAGAATGATCAAGGGCTGAGATAACCTTGCTGGGATCCTCTAATCCAGTGCCCCCAAACACCTGGCCTGCTTGATTTATCTATGGGCCTGCATGACATTTAGTGTTATAAGTGTTCATTTAAAAAATAAGGTGGTTGCAAAGGTAACGTTCCAAATGTGAATGCAGTGTTAATCAATGCAGAGTTGTCTTCCTGATCCTACAGAAAGCCTGAAACAATTATTTTGAAATTATTATTACTCTCCTAAACTCCATTAATTTCCTTGGAGTGTTGATTCTAATGATGACAAATTAAATGTCATCATTACCTATTTCACAGCTGATCATTTTAGTACATAGAGTGGGAAAGGGCTGGAAGTCAAGCCCCCAAGAGGTGGGCTTTAGGAGCTGCCTAATAGGAAATGCAGAGGAAAGAAAAGAGAAAAGAGAGAAATAGAGGCAGGAGGATGGGAAAGGAAGAGACTAAATAAGGTACTGAACAAATAGCACATTCCAAAGGCAAAAAAACAGTTCTGTTCAGAAATATTTTATAGGGTGCCAGGGATGATGTGTGTCTGTCAGGGATGGGTTAGAAGAATACACAGAGGGGAGAGAACTCCAGCTCTGGCAAGGAAATCATTCCAACTGTCCTTTCAGTCTGGTGGTGGGATTTTAACAAAGGTTTCCTGGTTGTCCCAAGAGCCTCTCCAGCACATCAGTAACATTTTTAGTTTAAAACTCAACACAAAACTGCTACTTACGATAGGACTCTGCGATCTCGTCCAAATTCTGCTTCATAGTAGCCATCCCTACAGTCTTTTCCAACCAGGTCATGAGGGTGCGGCTTGTAGGGCTCATTCTTTGTCACTAATGTAATCCTTACTTTCACTTTATCATCAAAGTTCAGAATCTGCAAAAATGTAAAGAGAAATGCACTTAAATTCTAAATCACATCTGTCTAAAAGATTGCATAATTTGGATAGTGGACAGGTGACACTGACAAGGTCCTATGGATAAGTGGGAATAACAGTTTGTCTTAATTGTTGCACTAGAAATGAAAACCCAACCATTGTCTCCTGAAAATTCAGAGGCTGTGTTTCATCAAATTACCATTCATTTCACACTGAAAGCCAGAGATGGAATAATTACAAATAAAAATATAGTGTATTTCAGCCATTTGTCTGACAAAATATAGATATCTGAAACGTCCAGAAAGAATTAGGTTTTTATTTGAAAAAATAAATCACATCATTAGCCAGCCTGGCTAAGTTACAAGAGGTTTGTAGTCAAGAAATTCACTGGTCATTGTCAAACTATTGATTTCTTTTACATTTTAATTCTTTCTACTCCATGCTGTTGTGAAAACAATGTCTCTCTAATCTCGACACAGAGAACTCTCCATAGGCCTGACTTAATGTCCCACTAAGTCAGTGGGCGTATTTACGTTGGATCAACGGACTTTCAATCAGGCTCTAGAAGCTAAATTTGCCCCTGTGCAGAGGGCCTAAAGTGCTGTGTAAGCTTCATGCAGACACTCTGCGTGGGGTGCATTTTGCCCTGATGTTACAAGGTATATTTTATTACCATGCCTGTAGCGAGGCGGTGTGGTTCCCCGCTGCCCCAGGGAGGCACGAGCCTCTCCAGACACCAAAGTGGGCGGAGCTAGTGAACCCGGCACCTGCCCCCAGAGGTCAAGGCGCAGGACAGGAAATATAAAAGCCCAACCCCAGAGCTCACTAGAGCCCCAGCCACCGGAGAAGCCAGACGCCTGTGGCCTAGCTCCCGGTCGGGAGACTCCTGCAATTGGTGACCGATTCGAGGACTGGCCAGACCAGCTGAGGCCTGATGCTGACCAGACCCCGGAGAAGCTGTTAAGCCTGCCTGTGGCAAGTTACCCAGAGGAGCTGCCAAGCCTACCGCTCACCGGGTACCCTGAGCAGCCTATGGTGCTTGATTCCTTGGAGGACACCGTCCAGACACAGGTACCTCAAGAGGGGGAGGTAGGAAGTAGCCCGGGGGCAGCCAACCCTAGTCTGGCTGCAGCACACCCAGAGCCCATATCAGTGTGTTGCGGCCAGGATCCCCGCTGACACAGCAACGGGTCTTCTGCCGCTGCTAGGGCCCCGGGCTGGGATGCAGTGGAGTGGGTGGGCCTGCATCCACCTGCCATCCTACGTGCGGGTGGCAGTCTCCCCCTCTCCCAGGCCCTTCGGAGCCAGGGCCTGGGCCTTCTGAACTTACTTGTTTGCTCAGCCCCTGTCTGAGGGCCTGAGCCATAGACTCCGTACTGCCCGCCCTGACCCAGGGCCTGGGCCTGCTGTTCTAAAACTGTTTGCTCAGCCCCCGCCTGAGGACCTGAGCCACTGACTCTTCGCTGACCCAGGGCTAGGGCCTCTTCTAAAACTGTTTGCTCAACCCCTGCCTAAGGGCCTGAGCCTCCCTCATTCCCTCCTCATTCATGCTCACACACTCTCTCTCTCTCTCATCTGGTTCATTTCTCTCAGCCTTCAGATATGTCACTGTCTCCTCTTACCCTAAGAATAATCCCTGACTCTCTAAGCCCCTGCCTGAGGGCCTGAGCCACTGACTCTCCACTGCCCCCGCCCTGAACCAGGGCCTGGGCCTGGGCCTGTGGAATATAACTGTTTGTTTGCCTCTATTGTTGCTGCGGTGTGAAACCCCACAGCCCGACTAGTTCCCCGACCCAACTGAACGGACGTAGCGAGGCAGTGTGGTTCTCCGCCGCCCGGGGGAGGGACGAGCCCTGGCTGAACCCTTCTAAAATACCTAATTTTCATTACAAATACATCCAATTCCGCATTCAGGAGCACACAGGGACTCCCACTGAAGGGCAAGATTCCGCTCTCACTGAAATCAATGGGAGTTTTTCCATTACTTCAATCGGAGTTGGATTAGGCCTATTAGTTGATCCAAAAATGGTAGGATCCCTTACACAGACGAGATTCCCATCTGTTGAAGCAACAGGAGATTTTTCCCAAATAGCGTACGCTGTACAGGACCTATAACTTTATCATTACAGCTTTGAGCCATACCTCCATTTTAAGAGAAAAGACCCTCTTGAGCTTTTGGCGAAATGTTCACACACTGTGCATGGAGATACAGAAAACCTCCCTCTCCCACTAGGTTTTTTAGGACAGTTGTGAACCTAACTCCCAGTGTGCTTCAGATACGTTCACCAAATTCTGCCTTCAGGCAGATAGCTCCCAATGAAGTCAGTGAGGGTTATGTGGGTGAATTTAAGGGCAGAGTTTGGCCTAAACTGATTGAAGTGTAACAGCTTGAAAACATATCTGGCAGATATGTCAAGGGGAGTACGTTAACTGTGATACTAGCTCTCCTCCTCCACTTCCCCTACCTCACAACAGTTCCATTCCTCTCTCAACCTTTTCTTCCTATACCCCTCCCCCCAACCCCCGGCCATCTCTGAGGATGAAGCATTCATTGTATTCTTTTTCTCCAACCTTTTGTCTGATCCTGGTCTCCATAATACTCTCAAACCTCCCCCATTCCCTCCTCATTCATGCTCTCTCTCTCTCTCATCTGGTTCTTTTCTCTCAGCCTTCAGATATGTCACTGTCTCCTCTTACCCTAAGAATAATCCCTGACTCTCTAAATACTTACCCTTTTCCCCCACCTCCTCTTCACACCTAAGCCCTTCAGCATCCAGTCAACTCTTGCTGCTTTGACTTCCTTCCCTGCTAACTCTCTCCTTTAATCTTGCAATCAGATTTTCACCTCTTCCATCCCACTGCTCTCACTAAACCCACGGGGTTCCTCTCTATTCTCACCCTCCTTGACCTTTCCACCTGTGGTGGCGGCTGGTTCTCTTTGCTGGTAGTCAGTTCCAAACTCCCACCCCTGGCGTTGGAGTGGAAATCCCACCTACAGCCTTTGGGGATGCACGAAATCACCCAGAAATCACTCCGACACTGCTATTGGTAACACACACAGCTTTGTCAGCAGCGGTCATCTTGAGCAGCCTATCATCCCCCCCCATGACACAATCAGGGCCTCTTTCCTTTCAGGCTCTGGCTGATCCTCAAATGCAGCACTGTGGAGGGTCACAGGGGCCACATGCTCAGGCCGCTCCCTGGACTCAGCCTGTGTCTCCCTGCAGCAGCACGTGCCCTCTCTAGCAGCACACACAGTCCCTTTCTCTTCTCCAATTGCAGGAGAGCCAGCAACTCACAGACAGGGTGGGATTTCCTGCCCGCTCTTTAATCAGTCAAAGAGTGGGGGAGGCTGGCACCTCCTGTTTGTTCATTCCCTTGCCAATCAGAGCTCCAGGGACAGGGTTCCATTTCATTGCACTGCTTCTGATCTGTGATGTGGAGCGGCATACTGCTGCTTTCAGCCCCATTGTCCACACATCATCCTTCTTAACTCTCGCTCATCTCCAGGGGCTTTTATGCAGCTGGCACACCACCACTCTCTCAGACAGCTCCTCCAATGTCTGCTTTAAAGGCTCCATCATCTCCCCTTTTTTCCTCTTCACTAGAATGCCACAAGATTCTGTCCTTGGGGGGGAGGGGGGGGGCTGGTGTGTGTGTGTGTGTGTGTGTGTGTGTGTGTGTGTGTGTGTGTGTGTGTGTACACACTGTATAGATATAACCCCTACGGGGTCTTAACCCCTCTCATGGTTTCAACTATTGATGACTCCCACATCTACCTCTCTCCTCCCCATGCCCTGATACAGTTCTTCCTGGATGTCCCACCATCAATTTAAACACAACACAATAAAACTGGAATTCATCTACCTCCCCAAGTCCTCCCCTCCCTTCTCCATCACAGCAGATATTTCCATGACCCTTCCCATATCCCAGGCTCACAAACTCACATTCCTTCATCCCACACATTCAGGCTGTTTCCAAATCCTACTGCTGTTTCCTTTACAACAGATCCAAAATCCATCCATTCCTTTTCATCTCTACTGCCCAAATCCTTGATCAAGGCCTGGACATGTCCTGCCTAGACTACTGTGAATCTCTTCTCTCCGAACTTCCTGACATCTACCTTATTCCCATTCAATCTATCTATAATGCAGCTACCAAATAATCTTCTGCTGCTCTGACCACATCACTCCCCTTTCTCAACTGCTTTATTGACTGCATCCCTTTCCACCTCAACTTCAGACTCCTCATTGGGGTTTTCCAGGCTCTGTACAGCTCTACCTCCGAATCACTGGTTATATGTATCTATCTATTTGATCCCCACATTCCCCCAAATTCACCTCACCCCAGGCTCCCTTTGTTCCCATCTGCAACAAGCACTTCCGTGCCTTCTCCCATGCTACACCCTGCAGCTGGGATACCCTTCCTAAATTCTGTACCCCAGACAACCTCCTTCAAAGCCCTCTTCAGAACCTGCAATCAGTCCTCTAGTTAACTCCCCCTCAATTGTTAAAAAACATAGTTATGCAAGTACCAAGAACAAACAAAAAGCTAAGAACAAACCTGATCCATCCTGAACAACCCAAGCCACCAAGTAAGCATACTCTGTGAACCTTCCTTCCATCACCCTGGTTTGTTACCTTCCTCTGCAGCTTGTCTGACTGCTGTCAATTTAGACTGTAAGCTTTGCAGAGTAGGAACCAAGAGCCTTATTCTCCACTCTGTTATGTTAGTTGTTGTAACTTCATCAGCTTCAGTGAAGTTATGATCGAGAAAGAAAAACAAAAAAGCAGTATTACAGAATGGAGAATCAGGGCCCTTATTTACTGTGTAAAGTCCCAGGCACACCTGCAACATGGTGCAATGTAAAAAATAATTATGGATAACAGTATTACCTCTACAGAGGGATATGTCTTATTGCTGTCGGTACTACGTTCTCCTGGAATGCTGCCTGCTGATCGTCCTTCACATTTGTACCTGAAACGCATGCCTCTCTGCCTGGGTTGCTCGAATATTTCAACGCAGGGTTCAGACCCACCTTTAGGAAAATGAAAATGTTTAAGGTTACAACACAATACAGCGTAAAAAGCAAAAGGAAGGATGGCTTTATGGTTAAAGCACTGGACCAGGATCTAGGTTCTACTCCTGGATCTTCTACAGATTTCTTGTGTGACCTTGGGTAAATCATTTAGTTTATCTGTGCCTCAGTTCCCACTCTGTGAAATGGGGGTGATGATAAATCCTTTCTCCCACTCATCTGTCTTATATATTTAGACTGGCAGTTCCTCATGGCAGGGTCTGTCTCTTACTGTGGGCTTGTCTACATTGCCGGCAGGATCGACGGGCAGCAACTGATCCAGTGGGGGTCGATGTATCGTGTCTAGTCTAGACGCAATAAATTGACTGCTGAGCACTCTCCCATCGACTCCAGTACTCCACCAGAGTGAGAGGCGCAGGCGGAGTTGACGGGGGAGCGTCAGCCGTCAATTTACCACAGTGAAGACACTACGGTAAGTAGATCTAAGTACATCGACTTCAGCTATGCTGAAGTTGCGTAACATAGATCAATCCCCCCCTCTAGTGTAGACCAGGCCTGTGTATATGAACACAGTGGGAGCCCCAGAGGAGGAGACTTCTAGGCACTGCTGTAATATAAATAATCATTAGTAGGGTTCCCTCCCCATGGAGCTCAGTTTCTCTTAGATAGTGGTGAGGGCTTGTCTGCTGAAAAATTATTTCATAATGTCAAAATGAATAGATCATTAGTCCAAGGGAATGGCTGAAATTTTTAATTATAGTACATTTTTCTGAATGCAAGTCCCCTCAAAATGAAGGTGTTTCCTCTGAATCGATTGATTTAGCTCCTACTGCAGTGAAGCAATAAATTCTATGCAAATTAGGCAAAATCCCCTAATGCTTTCAGTTTCTTTACTGTGTTCCCAGACATTGCATTGCTATACTTTGAGCTGTCCACTTCCCACAGGAGCCAGCATGAGCAGCAAGGGGTCTCACAAGATTTTAGTAAAGGCTATTGGTAAGCTGTCAAAGGGCCCAATGTGTGAGAAGGCAACTTTCAGGGAATGGGTGTTAGGAGATGGTGGGGCTGACATTAATTAAGGCTTTGGAAAGATCCTGACTTAGCAGGAGTCTACATACTTTTTTCAGGGTGACATTCACCCTCTGCAGAGGGCCAGGACAAGGCCTGGGCCCCACTTCAGTCTAAATACAGTTAATTCCACCCTGACTCACAGCACCGAAAATGCTAACCAGTCAAGCAGTGACATAACAGTCTAGTGGTATGTGAGCAGCAAATACTGGAGAAGCAAAAATGAATAAATAAAAGGTTTAGTTTAGAAACTGAATTATTTTAGTTGGTACACACACGGTCAAATTCTGCACCTCATGCTCATATAACAACATCCTACACAGGCAAGCTGGATGCGCATTACAAAGAAGCAGGAATGGTAATAAGGCACAGTTAAATACATTTGGGATCAAAGATCCTATGGCATGTCAGCAAAACAATGTTGGAACTTCAATTGTTGTACCCAAAGTAGACATTAAAGAGATAGAAGATCCTCTCATTCCTTCCCACATATATTTTGGACAGTTCTATAGGAGTTTTTGGGGAGAGATACACCTCAGTATTAAAACCTTTTGTTGCTGCCAAAATGGCTTATATTGGGACTCACCAACCCAAAGCTTGCATGTACTAGTTCACAAGAATGTCATTTCCTACTAGATTTGTTGGGCCCAAAAAGTCTTTTATTGCAGTACTATAAATCATTTAGCTTACTCCACTTTCCTGTTCTAGGAGTTAAGTGACACAACAGCTCTTGAAAGAACGTGTAAGAGAAAAGAAGAACTCCATCTGTGTGACAGCATATTGACCTTTACTTCTATATTGATAGATAGCTATGGAATGGTGATGTGCATGGAAGTTCTGTTGCTGGCTGAGGGGGGAACAGTCTTTAAATCAAGCTGGATGTCTTTCTAAAAGATATGCTATAGCTCAACCAGCAGCTATGGGCTTGATGCAAGAACCACTGCTGAGGTGCTTTGGCCTGTATTATGTAAAATGTCAACTAGACGATTATAATGGTCCCTTCTGGCCTTAAAATTTATTAATCTATGAACAAGGCTGGAGACAATTTGGATGTTTCTAAAGTGGGGAAAGGTACCAAAAAGTTTCACAATAATCTGAACATTCATATCTGTGTAACCCCATCAGCTGAACCAAAGAGAATTTTGTCTCGTGTCTCTAGTTTCCAAGATTCCACTATTTCATATTTTGTTGCCGAATCCTTTTGGAATGACAGAATGAGCCTTAACATTGTTTTTAGCCAACTGCTCATAAAATGGAAGTAACCAAATATGCCACTTTCCAGCCAGTGAATGTCCAGGTCAACATCTGACAACTTTAGAAATGACATCAGAAAATGACCTGACATATTCAATATATGCTGGCCATCACCCTGGCTCCTGTTCTTTTAAAAGGACTGTCCCTTTCCTAAGCTCTGCCCCTTCTTGAGGTATGCTTTTGCACATGCTGTCTTCTGGACAGAATAAGCATGACTAGCCAGAGAAGAATAAATCATAGAAACAGAGATGGTAAAACAAAACAAAAACCCACAAAAGCAACACAGGAGTGACTTCAATGGGAGATCAGGTTTCTTAGCACATAAATTGTGTGCAAATGTCTCTCACACACTCAAAACTACTTATACTTGTCTCACAAGCATAGTCCAGTGGTTGGGGCACCATAAAGGGAGTCAGGAGGCTCTACCAATGATCAGCTCTATCACCTTGGGCATTATCACTTAATCTCTCCTGTGCTTTGATTTCCTCATCTATAAACAGAGATAAAGATACACACTTTTGTGGAGCACTTTAGGATCTATAGATAGAAGTTGCTATACATGTGCTAAGCATTATTATTAAAATAAAGAAATGAGTATCTATCTAGGGAATTATAAAGTGCCTAATCATCATGTTACTTAGGAGATACAGATATACACGTATGTGCGTGCAAATATACGTAGATATGCCCACAACCCCACCCACCCATGTCACCTGTCAAAGCCATATAGAGTCTTGTCAGTTATGACTGTTTTATAGCAATTGCTTCAAGGACTTTAATATCTCTACTTTAACCTATAATTTTACCTTCAATATACACGTCTAAAGGGTTAGTGTCTCACCCACTGATTATATCAACTGCATTTTAAAAGTCAGGCCTCAATTGTCTTTATGCAGATTTAATTTGTGGTTGAAATAAAGGTTACTTAAGTCACCCCCACTGCTTAACAGTAGGCGTGTGCTTGTGGGAAAGCAAAACCCAATGACGCAGTAACCTCCAGAGATTAGAAATTAAACTTAATTTTAATTTGATTTTCTTTCTTGAAGAACCAAATTATCATCTACAGCTTTACTAAACCAGGCACCAGTAGACAAGAAACACAAAAGGGTTTGTGTGAACCAAGGATCATGGAGACATAGAATCATCACTCTTTGTAGTAATACTAGACATCCATTTCTTGTTCCCATTTTCTGTAAATTAATGTGCTCTTGCCAAAGCAACACAGCTAAGACTATTTCACAATCCCCACTCACACAGACAAAGGGCCTCCACACAGGAGCATGTACTTTTTAGAGTAGAAGAAATATAAACTACATCAAAAGCGGACATTCTTGCAATGGCAACGAAGACTAATTCTGGAAGAGTAATATGCTGCTTAATTACCTTTAGTTAACTACTGAGACATGAAACTGAAATGGAAGAATCTTACAAATCCATATTAAAGGAAGTACTAATAGTTTTATTTGTACTTATGTTTATTGGCCGTAGGATTATTGTGCTCTGTATCCCAGCATGCCTATTTCTCTTTTTGTTATGATACTGCATTTGTATTTGCATGATTGCACTGAAAACTGCAATACATAATTTAAAAGAAAATGAGAGGTAAATTCGCAATGACATGAGTGGTAGAAACTAGTGAAACCATCAATGACAACCTGAGTACAGCAAGGAATGAAAATTACACTGATTCAAGATCTGGGACTTGATTCTATATCAGTGACAAAAAAAGCATATCTAAACCGAGAAAGCACAGACAGTTTAAAGTTAGATACACCACCAGCCATCAGAATTAAAACTAAAAGATGGAAGCAAATACTGATTTCCCTGTCTACCATTAGGAAGCAGGTTCTTTACCATGACTGCCAAAGAGCTGATGCAAAACTGCAGCTGTGACTGCAAAGGGCTTTCAAGGATTGGATGCTCTGCCTTTGACTAGAATACCTAATGCCCAAGAACGTGCAATGGAAACACGGAAGGAGAAATATGTGCAAAGCATTTGTCTTGAAGTGAGGATTTATATTTGCAAGTGGAATTCCTGAATTATCTGGAGAAGTCTGGTTGGACCTCAGTGATGAGTTCAGGGAAAGGTGAAGAACGAAGGGAAGTTGGCTGCAACATACCATGCATCTTTCAATGCACTGCAGGAAAAACAACTGGATCATGGAATCAAATGTTGCCTCCAACTAACAGAGCCACAGATTCCTCTGCACAGAGGGCACAGGCTGTGTGAAGAGTCAATGCCATGAGACTGCAATTCTGGCATTCAACTGGGGAGTGTTCTATCGACACACACTCTGATGCAGTATCTGAAGCGTGTGAATGAGGTGGAGGCGGGGCACAGAGTGGTGGGAGTTTGACTATCAACAATGCAAAGTCACTACACAAAATCCCAATGCAGTGGGGTACATTAGGTATGGACATTATGGCAGCACCGCTGGGAAAATTCTGCCCCTCCAACTATGTGTAGATACCCTGTTCGGAATCTGTGGACCAGGTGCCCCAACCTGCATACCCAAAAATCAGTGGGCACTTCTGAAAAATTAGGCCTTAAATATTAAGCATTTGCCACCCCCTATAGCAGGCCAGGGAGGAGTACTGGTCACAGATCTACTATAAAATATTCTGATTCAACCTAAAACAAGTGCAAATACATTCTTAATTCAGAACGAGCAACCCTCTACCCAAGCATTCATGAACTGTGCACCTTCTAAACAGAGGTAGTTTAGAGGCACAACTGCTTCATGTACTACTTCTTTCTTGTCACGTGACATTACAGAATAGTAACTAGAAGAGAAGCTTATAAATACTAGGAAGTTAAGAACTTCCCCTGCTGAAAAATTCCTTCACCAATTACTAATAAGTTGAAAATATATTAGTCGCTGATAACAGAGATAGATATCTACTGTTTCAGCTTATCTGCTCTAAAATACAATATAATTTTTTTTAAATTATGTGTGAATTCAATAATTTGATTTATCTGATTAAGAGCCAGTATTTAGATGAGCAGATCAAACACGTACACTGGCAATGGTTGGCTGAGCAGACATTCACATATCATATATAGGTTTGGGAACACTTTTCGTCCCAGCAACCACTCTAATTAATGCAACCAGTTCTAAAATTAAAAATTTTAAATCCCCATGAAAGATTCCGGAGAACAAACTTTTGAAAGGCTGTGGAATGCAAGTGCTTCATTGAGACCAAGAGAAACTAAATTACAACTTTGGATTCCTTGGCTACCAAATCTGTGATCACTTTCTGTGGTATTGTCTCTCATTTTCATACTAATTTATTTTGGCCATGACCTGTTCTGATGTGAACTGGATTAAGTTGAGCACTAAGCTGACATTAGCCAACTGGTGTCTTCCCCAGATCTGAGACTTATACTGTAAATTTAGCCTCTATATTTGAACAATGATTCATTTTTCTTTTAGATTTCAATGAGCCATTTTGAAAGTTATCAGAATCTTTTTAACATTTTGTTAAACTAATTCAAATGTTATGTTTGTTCACTAACTCGTTCCTTATGGCCACCTAAGGGGTACTTGGACAAGGATTTAATATTGCTTCTAAAAATCACAAATGTCACCTTTTTAGCAATACAGTCTTAAGTGGCAGAATAAGAAAAATAGGCCAAGATTTTCAGATGTGACAGTGATTTGGGGAGGGAGGCACTCAATTTTTAGGTGCTCCACTTGAGACAATTTATAGGAACTGTACACCTAACCTCCACTGAAACTCAGGTCCCTTTAAGGTGGACACCTAAACATTTAAGCAGCCAAAAATCACTAGTAAATTTTGACAACCTATTCATGTGCAATATATATTGGTCCTCATATATCACTGCACACATGCATTAGCCAGGACACACCACTTAAACAACTGGGGCTTTTCATGTCACATTAACCTTTGCAATTGGGAGATTTTCTATTATGAGAGGCAAGTTCTGGGTAATTGCTTTAAAGTGCAGCTTTCTATCCTTGACCCTCAGATTGCCACAAGCCATGAGGATCAGAGGCAGCAACTGTCCCATATGGCAGCCATTTTTAAAATGTAAATGCTTTGTTACATTCCTTTCAAGGGGTAAAATGACATACCCATCCTCACAGCAGGAATAAATCCCATTCCCAGCTATGACAGCTGAGAAAGAGCCTGGGCTCCTAGCAGCTTGCAAAGCAGGCAGTCTCTTGGCTGCCCTAATAAGAAAGGGGAGACTCTCCTCCAAAGCTCCCTGCAGCTGGCAGGCATTTACTCTCCTCCTTCCCCCCTGCTCCCCCTCAAAAAAATCTGCTTTATTAATGGGAAGATAAGGCAGGATAGGAACCAGTGCCTTCCTCCCAGATGTTAAGCATCAAAGGTGGGAAGAAACAGTGGCTCCCAGGAGGGGCTTCATACAAACAAAACAGCCAAATGTTTGTGAAAAGGGGGCTAGTGCCCAGCATCCCTATCCCAGATGTGAGCAGATGTCAGAGCTGCGGATGGAGCTCATTTCTGCATAAGGGGCACATTCCCCCAATATGCCCTAACCCGGCCCCAACCCCCATGCCACTACATTTGTTTTTTTGTTAAAGGATGTCCATGTTGGTCAAATAACCAGCCTTGCCTCTCCCACCTTCTACCAAGTGAGAGTCGAGGGGAAAGCGAATGCAACTGTCCTTTAAACAATATGGCTATTATATTTCCCTATATAAGTCACCTGCAAACAAAATGGAACATTGGGGCCACATTTTCAAATGTGAGTGTTCACAATTAGACACCTAAACACCTATTTTAGGCATCTTAACAGGGATTTTGGGGCCAACTCAGATATTTAATTGCTTGAATCCAGATTTAGGTGCCTAACTTAAGGTACCCAAGTCTGAAAATAGAACAGGAGTACTTGTGGCACCTTAGAGACTAACAAATTTATTAGAGCATAAGCTTTCGTGGGCTACAACCCACTTCTTCGGATGCATATTGAGGCACTCAATATGCTTATGCTCTAATAAATTTGTTAGTCTCTAAGGTGCCACAAGTACTCCTGTTCTTTTGATACAGACTAACACGGCTGCTACTCTGAAGTCTGAAAATGTGGTCCCATCTGTGTCAAGGAAATTACCTGGCTCTCTCTCTATATATACACATATATATATAAATAAAATTTATATACAATTTATTGTTTAAATAAACTGATTATTTAATTTTGTTCCTCTACCACAGAAAATCTCACATGGTGTAAAGTTTGTGACAAGCTCTCAACTAAAAGCTTCATTTAAGTTAGTTATGAGGAAGCTCCTCCCCATTACTTTAGGCAGTCTACAGTCTCTCTGCCTTAATATATTATGACCATTTGTTAATAACCACTGCCTCAGGAAAGGTAGTCACTTCCTGCTGCAAAAACACACTGACAGACAGGCACATTTCTATGTATATTTTACACTTGTTCAATATTATTCTCTTTGATTTCCTAATGATTTATCCTGGAAGGAGGAATTTAAAATGTTGGGGACACAACTATACTGAAGTCAACAGAACTGCTGCCATTTATACCCAGATGAATTTGGTTAAATTCTATCAACACTCTCACAAAAAGCCACACGCTCGAAATTTGCAGGTCATGTGAATAGACTTCCTCATCGACCAGCTCTCACACTGCTACTTCCCTTCATCAACAACAACAAAAATTAATTCTTTCCTTCCCCACCTCACCTCACCTCTTCCTGTGTGTCACACTAAAGTCAGATTCTCACAAGAGCTTTGATGGAGCTATCTTTAGTTAGCTTGCACACACAGTAGTCCCTGAGTGAACAGCCATCTCAGTCAACAGACTCAGAAATCTGCCATTGGGCGAGGTCAAATAATGCCAGTCAAGCCTCTGGCCCCAGCTGGTGTCTTCTCAACGGCATGAATGGAAGGCAGGTGCCTTCTGCCAAGCCCAGAGCCCTGCCCAGGCTGGGTGAGAAGGACACGCCAGCCCAGCTCACTCCCAGTTTTATAGAAGTTAGACATGTAGTCACATGCTGAAAGTGTTCTTTAGTTGCAGGCAGCCCTAGACAACCTAGTGTCTCTCCCCCCTTCCCATCCCTTCCCTCCAGGGTTTCAGAGGTTTTTAAACGCGTAAAGCAGAGAGAGGGGTTGCAGCCAGCACTGCAAGCCCGACCTCTGTATCACGACAGCTCACCACACTGCAAGGGGCAGGGCAGCCCATCTCGGGCTCAGGGCAGCCGGCCCCACGCAGCGAGCGCAAGGCGCCCGGGGCAGGGTTCCGCGCGATGGAGACCGCCCGGCGGCGAGGCGGCGCACCGGGGACACTTACCAGCCATGGTGCCCGCTACACACACGCGCGCTCTCAGCCCGGGACTCGCGGCGGCGGCAGCAGCTGCTCCGCGCCGTCCTGCTGCTCCGGCTCAGCTGTTCTCGGCCCTACTTCGGCCGCTCCTCCCCGCGGCTGGGAATTTCCCGCTGGGGTGACGTCGTAGCGCCAAGAGGCCGGTTCCCCCACACGCCTGCTGCGGCCGCAGTGCTGTGAGCCGGGGAGGGAGGGGTCTGATCTCGACGGGGATACTCCTACAATAGCAGCAATCTCTCCCCTCCCCCTGCGTGCTACCGAGCCGTATCGCAGTGCACACACACCCCCGCACAGCAACAGGCTGGCTGCTCTCCGCGACCGCACCCACTTCCTCCAGCTGCACCCCTAGCGTGCCCGGGTGACCCTCGCTTGGTTGCTAGAGTGTAACACAGGCCTCCCCTCCCAGCGCTCGCTGAGGCACTGTCCTCTGCGACCATTGGCAATATCGACTGTTCCTCCTTCACTATCAGCTTGTGATGCTGTGTGAGAGTGCCCTCTCTGCTGGGCAGGCACAGATTTTCCTTCTCTCTCTCAGGGTATGTCTACACTACGAGAGTAGTTCGATTTTAGTTAAATCGAATATGTGCAATCGATATTAGAAAGTCGAACGTGTGTGTCCACACTAAGGACAGTAATTCGACTTTGTCAGTCCACACTAATGGGGCAAGCGTCGACATTGGAAGCGGTGCACTGTGGGCAGCTATCCCACAGTTCCCGCAGTCCCCGCTGCCCACTGGAATTCTGGGTCGAGCCCCCAATGCCTTCTGGGGGAAAAAAATGTCTCGAGGGTGCTTTTGGGTAACTGTCGTCATCCAATCGTCACTCCCGCCCTCCCTCCCTCCCTCCTTGAAAGCGCCGGCAGGAAATCAGTTCGCGCACTTTTCTGGTCAGTGACAGCGCGGACGCCACAGCACCGCGAGCATGGATCCCGCTGCGACCATCGCCGCAGTTGTGGCCGTTGTCAACGCCTCGCAGCTCATCATGCACCTTTCACAGAGGCAGATAGAGAGAAATCAGGCGAGGAGGCTATGGCAGCGGAGTGAGGACCTGAACTCCAAGAGTAGCACACGCCTGTCAGAAACCACGACACCCAGCGCCGAGGACATCACGTTTGCAATGGGACATGTGGATTTCGTTGAACGGTGATTCTGGCCCGGGAAACAAGCACGGACTGGTGGGACCGCATAGTGCTTCAGGTCTGGGATGAATCCCAGTGGCTGCGAAACTTTCGCATGCGGAAGGGGACTTCCCTGGAACTTTGTGAGTTGCTGTCCCCTGCCCTGAAGCGCAAGGACACCCGCATGCGAGCAGCCCTGACTGGTATTTACTTGGAGAAGCTTACTGACTCGCTGTGATCTCAGCGAAACCAATATCCCCATCGTTATAGCACCTTGCTGCGTGCTCCACAATCTCTGTGAGAGCAAGGGGGAGACCTTTATGGCGGGGTGGGAGGTTGAGGCAAATAGCCTGGCTGCTGATTACGCCCAGCCAGACAGCCGGGCGATTAGAAGATCCCAGCGGGACGCACTGTGCATCCGGGAGGCTTTGAAAGCCAGTTCCAGGACTGAGCAGGGTACCCAGTGACTTTTAAGTTTGTGGACACAGAAGCTGAACTTGCCCCCGTTTCTTTACCCAGTTACCCCCTTCACCCCCTTCCCAAAAAATAAAATCTGTTCTGTTTTGCTAATGAACACCGTTGTCTTCATTACTGTTTTCGCGGGAATGTTTTAAACCTGGGTTTAGTGTTGTGATGCTAATGATGCTTCTAAACTGCCCTCCCCCACCGCAAAGTCACAGAGCAACCCCGCCCCCCCCCCC